TTGTGATTTACATGGGGATTAAGAAATAATACATAGGTCTAGAAAAGGACAAAAATATTAAAAAAAAGACAGGAGAAAATGCATCTTTTAAAAACAATGAATTTAGTAAATGTCATAAGAACTTAGTGAAGGATGTTAGATGTCATTCTTTTAAATCAGAAAAGTGCAAACTTTCTTTCTAATTAGCAGTGATAAGCATCAAGGGGCAAACATCTGAAAGCGACAAGTACATATACAAATAAGGGAATTTGAGACAAACGTGGAATTTAAAAAAATATCTGAGTTCAATATCTAGCAGACCATTCTCAAATCCAATCTACTAGAAAAACACGTTGAGCACTGAAATTTTCTCATACAAAAATGAAGATTGATTTTATTCTTTCATGTTGTACACAGACTTGTTCACAACTGCATCAGCTCAGCTGAAGCTATTTCACCACTTGACAGAGGATGAATAGGACAGAGACAATAGGATACAAAAATACTACTAGCAGTTACATTTTACACACATATTGCATGTGTATGGATTTTTCTGTCATTTCAAGAGGGAAAACAATATGTATTCAGTACAAAACCCAAGAATAAAGTCAATTCTAGTACAGTTACTTCAGATCAAAAAAATAATATTTTTGTTTTGTTTTTGAAACACAACAGGTTGCAAGAATTTCACGTTTCCTCAAGTGGTATCCTTCCGACAACAATTTCTTCTTATTTCTGAAAACTTCAATAATCTGGATAATGCAAGCTTGTCAAAAGATACTGTGCAGTCTTTAAAGCTAAGCTCCAGACAACATGTAGACCATTGGCTCCCAATCTTTTGATGCCCAAGATCACATTCAGAATTTGATCCTGCCCCTCCCCGAAGTCCCTGCCTCACTCACTCCATCCCCTCCATCTCTCCCACCCTTACTCACTTTTTCTGGGCTGCGGCAGGGGGTGGTGTTCAGGAGGCTGGGATTTAGGAGGGGATTTGGATGTTAGCTCTGGGAGAGGGCTCAAGATTGAGGTTTGGGGGCAGAGGAGCGTATGAAGTGTTGCCTGTAAGAAGGGGGGGGGGTCAGGGCTGGGGCAGGTGCTTGGGGTACAGCAGGGGGCTCAGGGTGCAGGAAGGGATGTGTGTGCTGGCTCTGGTAAGGGCTGAGGGTTGGGATGGGGGGCTACGGTGCAGAAGGGGGTTGGGGTACAAAGGGGGTATGGATGCTGGCTCTGGGAGGATGCTGGGGGTTGTGGTGTGGGCTTCCTCAGGGTAGCACTTACCACCAGTGTCTCCAAGTTGGCAGTGCTGCGAAGCCTTACACAAGAGAGTGTGCAGGATAGTAAGGACTACCTGCAGTTAGACATCAGTATGCAGTGATCTGCAGGGCTCTGCTCCCAGGAGAGACTGTGGCCAAAAGAGAGGAGCGCAGTGCTGCCAACCCCAGCCCTGTCACCAGTGGGGGCTGTATGACCCCAGACAGGAGATGTGAGTAGCAGCAGGGCTGGCAGCAGTACAGCTGCATGGCCAGAAAGAGCTGGTAATGCAGAGACCTAGCTCCAGCAAGCAGTGGCACTGCGCTCCTCTCCATTGCCTGTAGCATCTCCTAGGACGAAAGCCCTGTAGATCAGTGGACACCAATGTCTATCCACAGGCAGATGATTTTATCTGTTCAGGTCTCTACATACCTCTTCCAGAAGGGACCAACAAACCACTTTGGCCCTGGGGATAGGAGCAAGTGGGTTCATGCACTGCCCCTCTCTGACAGTATTACCCCATCAGCTCCAATTGACCACAAGTTTCCTGTTCCTGGCCAATGGGAGCAGCGGAAGGCAGTGTTTGCAGGCCGGAAGAGCACACCAAGACTCCCCTCCACCACACACACACAGGGCCACACTGGCCGCTCCTGGGAATGGGCTGGTGGCATGAGGCTAAGTCAGGGAGCCTGCCAAGTGCCCATTGCAATTGACCATGAGACTCCTCAGGATCCACCAGTTGATGACCTCTGACCTAAACCCTCAGGACAGTATCACCTGGCTCAAAAGGGAGTGGTTGTATTAATGGGCAGAATGCAAATATTCACAGATTAGAAAGACGGTTTGAAAAAACAGCATGCAGAGATTCCCCCATGCACAACAACGAGAGAGAAGCATAATTCTGGAAGCTTAAAGTCCACTCTCTGAGACAGGTTGAAGGAAAATATCTTCTGTAGTCATGAAATGAAACCTAAATAAACCAAGGTTCACTGTAACTAACATTTCAGTTCACTTCCACAGTGTTTTCAGGGCCTCAGATCTATCATATGATGATGAACAGGAACTCTACCGGTTTGGTTTTACATACAGCCTGCATAGTAATGTAGGTGCATTAACATTCATTTACATTAGACTGCGTACTGCAATCAATATTGAAATGAAGTCTCTGCATAATTAACCCTCATAATGCAGAAAACCTGCCAAGACCTAATAACTGCTTCACAAAGCTCTATATGGGAGCGGTCCTAATGCAGCACACACATTCTTTTTCAAATTAATTATCAAACAAGTTACACCATTCGTATTGTTTTACTGGTCATTAACCTTCAGCTACAATAGCACTTCATCATCGTTTTCCTCTCTCATTTATAAACAAATATAAATATTACTCAAATTACACAAATACAGGAGAAGATAGGTGCCCTAGAATCATCAGTTTAGGACCACAGCACCAGTCTTTAATGGATGCTGGGTGATTATATCCCAGCTTCCTTCTACATTGATTCACTGCCCAAATAACTTGAGTCATGCTTAATCTAGGAGTTCATCACTTATTGCATTTGTTAAACAGTTAGGGGATAACATGGGCGGCAGGTGTGGTAGGCGGGTGAAAGCACAGCTTTCCCAAACCGCCAATCTGGTCCCACCCACAGAACACCTACTGTAGGCATCCTGAGGGCAAAGTGTTGCTGTCCCCAAGTGCCTTCCCTCCCCTCCCTGTGCTCTGAACTGAAGTGGTTATGGGCCTCATGCCCTCTGCCCTCCTCCTGCTCTAGGCTGCATGCCCTGCGCCCTCCCTGAGCTCTGGAGCCAGGGAGGCTAGGGGTCACGTGCCCTCCAACTTCTCCATGCTGGAGGGGTTAGGGCCTCAGTAGACAGTGTGGGGCTGGGGGCTTGCGTCCCCTAGTCCTACCATCACCGACTGCCTATGGGAGATAAACAAGCTTTAAAACTCTAAGACTTCAATTAAAGAAAAAAAAAAGAAAAAAAGAGGGGTTTTGAGTCTTTTTGGCCTCAACAGGCTCCTGTTGGATGCACCATTTTGATTCGGACAGCTCCCCTACCCCAGTGAGCACAGGGGAGCCAGGAGTCACGGGCCATGTTTAGGGGGCATGGGGGCAGCTTCGCGAGCCGCACTGACGGGGGGGGAGAGGGGAAAGAGCCACATACAGCTCACAAGCCATGGGTTGGCCACGCCTGCTCAAACTGTTTAGAAGGAGTTCTTCAACAGATACATAGACAGACAGAAACAAACTCGCTCAAATACATAGAAAATAATCTAATCTAATTTACTCTGGGATTCTCACTGTTGAGTTACATTTTACTAGTGAAGCCTGACCAGGCCTGCTGACAGGTAGGGGCAAAAGGGGCAACTGCCACTGCACCCAGCAATTCAAAAGACTCCTAATTATTTAAAATAAATATCCATACTAGCCAACAAATGCTTCCTGACTTCAGTAGCTGGAAGCAACAGCTGAGGAAGCCAATAAGAACCCCCCTGACCTATCAACAGTACTATCACAAGTTTTCTCTTTGCTGGTAGCGAAAAATAATGTTTTTTAATCAAAACTAGTACAGATGAAGGCTTAGATTTTCAAAACTGCCTAATGGAGTTAAACTCCTAATTCTCAATAAAATTAACGGACATGGGGCATCCACATCCCTTAGACAGTTGTGAAAATTTCAGCCGAGGATGTTAGACTGGAATTCATCAGCAAAAAGAATAGTCAGTAACCCCAGCAGACACCCTCAGATACAGTATATGGAATTTAACTGAGTTATCTCACCTAATTATTGATACCAAAAAAGAATTTGGCATCTCCAAATAAAACCTGTGTAACCTATGAAAAGTGATTAAGCCACTACATACTACCCACTTACAATTTAGCAACAAATGAAATGCAGCTTAGAGCATATGGACTTCAAATCAAAATAACTATCAGAACCAAATTATAGAAAAGGCAATGTGAAGAAAATACACTCTTGCTCTTCTGTTGTCCTAAATAAAACATAGCACAATAAAATAAGCATTCAGAGAAGTTAAAAAAAATACAGCTTCCTGTTAAGACCGAGTTATGTCTTTTTGTCAGACCAAACTGTAATCTTGTTATATTGATAGTAACAGCTAGTGACTGACTAGTGTTGCCAATCATTCTAAGCAGTACAAAGACCTCAAGACTACCAAGTAATGAAGGCAGGTCACAATGTGTTTTTTCTAGTTTACAAATAGGAGGGTTGAAAAATCAAACAAATAAACATAGGTGCACATTTTTTTATGATCAACATGGACTAAATAAATGGATAAAAGAGGGAGAAGTTGGGTTTCAGTAGGCATGGTGAGAGGATAACCACATGGAATAAAAAGGTCCTGCCCCTTGATACCAAACCCCTCCACAAATAGAAAGACACTTAAGATGCAATTTTTAAATATACCATGCTTCTCAGATTTTTAATCACTGCTTTTTTAACAGAGCAAGGTAAAAGGCCGCTAGCCTACTTTTTCAAAAGCAACTAGTGATTGAGAAGCTCACTTTTTTGGTACCCAACTTGAGATACTTCCAAAGGGCCACACTTCCCAAAAATCAAGCCGCTGTAAGGCATCTCAAGTTGAGTAACCAGAAAAGGGGTGAAAGAGTCACTAGTCCCCTTTGAAAATGAAGGCTAGTAAATACCAAAAGAAAACCCATGAATACTCCCAGCATTTAAAGTTTAATTCTGTCCTATATTCTCTCCCTGTTTCATTACTGTTCAACTGCAGCAGTATAAAGAACATATTTTGTGACAAGCTTTTGTACCTTACGGTCTCTAAATCCAGAACGTTGTTTCTTCTTCTTCTCTTCTGGCTGTGTACCTCCACCATTTGACTCAATAGTCCTTCTATCATCCTCACCATTCTCTTCTTCTTGGTCCTTCACTTTTTCATTAGCTTCTGTCCTTGCATTGTGTTTTACAGACGATGATGCTTCTGCATAAGCTCTGTGATGGGCAGGAATAAAACAGTGATCAATCAGAAACTTAACTGGGACCGTAAATACAATATTAAACACTGGTTCAACCAACAAGCCGACTGGAATAACAGCAGATTTGACTGTAAATGCCAGAGTTTTTAAAATCCTTGAGGCAGGGACTGTTTCTATGTGTCTGGTACAACAATTAGTACAATGGGGCCATGATCCTGATTGGGGTCCATGGGTACTATTGCTATAGTATTTATTAAAAAAACCAAAACAAATAAATGCTAGTGTACTAACAGGGTACAAAAGTCCAATGTTAGCATGGTAAATTTCCACTTCTTCATTTCCAGACACAGCGCCTGGTATTTGGCACATTTGGGAAAAGAAAGCAGCTCAAGTGATTTAACACTGATAGGTAATGGTGCTCTAAAAGAGAATCATGCACAACACTTCCTAGACTGGATCACTGGCTGCAATTCAGTATTTTGAGGATTAAAAAGCAAATGAAATTTAGGATATTTGAGAATCTGCAACAAATACTGATATAGCCCCCTACCCTCCTGGTGGAATTCATGTACCCTTGCAAAACAAACTAATATTAATTATTCATTTGTTTGTTTCCAAAGACCTAATTAAATATATGAATCACAGACTGATTTAGGCTAGTTCACATCTGCTCATCTTCTAACCAATAAAAAGCAAACAAAATCCACCACTGAAATGCAGTAAGCGCTATTTTTAAGAACGAAAGAAAAAGAAAGAGAGAAAGATTCTGACATTAAAAGTGTGTTTCAGAACACCTTTAAAACTCCTACCAAAAATAAGACCAAATGATGAAAGGCATAGGAATTCTGTTATATTTTCAGTATTGCAGTGCTCAGAAGCAGCAGCCTTCCGGCCTCAGCTCAATTGGTTCTCTTTTTAATTTTAAGCAGATGACTGTCATATTTCATCCACGGATGAATCTAGTGAATTTGAAGGGTGAAGGAACAATGAAGACTGAAGCTGGTTATCCATAAATTAGAAATACTGCACATAAGCAGAACACTCAAGCTCTTTTCTTGTTGCACGAGCTTCACCAGTAACCCACTGTGCAGATGAAAATTCACTTTAACTGCGTAGTCAGCCTTACTGTCAACCCACTATGAACAAAGAGCAAAGAAAGCTTCTCGAGGCATAAAAGTTCCAGGCTACAGTTTATACACAGAGCAACTCAAACTTCACAACAGAATTCAACAACAGAACTTTAGTACACTTTGCTTTTAATTCAATCTATCAAAAAAGCTCAGTCCAAAAACACCACTAATGAAAAGCATAACATCTCATATACAAAGTCTACCCTAAAAACCACAATCTTCTAAACAAGCAAAAAGAGTTCATATTTGGTCTCCATTTTTACCAACAAAATGTAAAAATGGTGTATCAAAAATTCCTTATGTTTTAAAAATAAAAATGCTACTTCACTGATATTTCACAAGGAAAAACACAGCCACATCTGTGGACAGTCTCCATGCACTACATAAAAAAAATAAAAAAAGAGAATAGATGACTTCAAAATAAACACCACCAGAAGAAAAGTACAACTACATTAAGTCACTGATTGCTATTATATGTGATAGATTTGGAAGTAGTAAATCATTCTACATTGCTTAAGGGAAGAAAATACTAGGGATGTTAGAGTGTAGTCTTATACATGATTAACCAATATACATAGACTTATTAGTTAATCATAACCACTACATGCGCGCATATACACCAGTCCCCTGCTGCCTCTGAATCAGAAGCAGCAAGGGGGGGCGAGGGTAGGAGGTGGTGCCTATGGAGAGCTGGCTTGTCCTCCGGGGCGAGAAAAGCTGCTCCCCGTCTCCCTGGTCTGCAGGGAGATGGGGAGCAAAGCCTCGGAGCACGCCAGCAGTGGGACAGCCGCGGCGCGCCTGGACTGTCCCGCTGCCTGCGTGCTCTGCGGCTTTGCTCCGCGTCTCCCAAGTCAGCAGACCATGGAGACGGAGCAAAGCTGTGGAGGACTTGGGCGGTCCCGCCACCCCCGTCTCCCTGGTCTGCTGGGGGGGGGGGGGGGGCGGCGGGGGCCCCCCCCCA